TGTATCCACCTCTGGGTGGTCTATGTCCACGTTTAACCTTTCAGCTTTTTTTTGCAGCCTGCCCACGTGCTCTGCCCTATGTGCAGCCCTCAGATTATTGCAGAAAGTTGAGAATCAGGAAATCTGCCTGGATCGTGTTATGCAAGAGCTGAGCTGAGTGCTGAATAAGCAGCTGGTCTGACCAGCAGTGCCTCTGAAGGGCACCTCTTATTTTTTTTTTTGCCTGTCTGTGGACAGAGGAGATTGGTTTCTCATTGGCTTGGGGCTGGGTCAGGTGCCTGCCTCGTGTGTGAGTGCTGATTGATGGGGATTGGTATCCCAAGCAGATTGGCATGGGAAGGAAGATAAAGAACCAAAACTGTCACCGAGACAGTTTTCTTGGGTGGGAGCCCTGGGCGGTTTAATAGGACTGAAATTGGTTTAGTGAAGTCACCTTGGAGACCTTTGTGTTGTGTAGAAGAGAAAATAATTTTAGCAATTCTCTCGAGGTGGGGTCTAATTGCTCCTGGGAACACGTCAGTACCTGCTGCCTCATGAGGAGATGGCTTTGGAAATGAATGATGAGAAGCTCAACATGAGCCAGAACCGCTGTGCTGGGAGCCCAGAACCCACCCGTGTCCTGGGCTGGGTCCCCAGCAGTGGGACCAGCAGGGCCAGGGAGGGGATTGTCCCTTCTGCTCTGCTGAGACCCCTGCAGGGCTGGGGCCAGGGCTGGGGTCCCCAACACAGGAAGGACATGGAGCTGTTGGAGAGAGGCCAGAGGAGGCCCCGGAGATGCTGGGAGGGCTGGAGCAGCTCTGGAGCCAGGCTGGGAGAGCTGGGGTGTTGAGCCTGGAGAAGAGAAGGCTCCAGGGAGACCTTAGAGCAGCTTCCAGTGCCTGAAGGGGCTTCAGGAAAGCTGGGGAGGGAAAAGGGCAGGGAGGGATGGGATGAGGGGAACAGTTTCAGACTGGAAGAGGGAAGATTTAAGTTGGACATTAGGAGGGAATTCTTTGCTGTGAGGGTGGTGAGAGCCTGGCCCAGGTTTCCCAGGGAAGCTGTGGCTGCCCCATCCCTGGCAGTGTTGAAGGGCAGGTTGGATGGGGCTTGGAGCAGCCTGGGCTAGTGGGAGGGGTCCCTGCCCATGCAGGGAGGTGGGACTGGATGATCTTTAGGGTCCCTCACACCCACACCAGTCATTGATTCTAGGATTCATTTCAGTTGTGGCCAGTTCCCTCCCCCCAAGCCAGTGGAACTGCACCACACACTGGGTTTGAGCTTCACCTGTGGTGCTGCAAGGCATAAGCCATGAGTCCTCAGGAGATGCAAAAAAGGCTTTTGTTTCTGTGTGGCTTCTGTCTGCACTCAAGTTTGGGTGTGGGCCTTGGTTAAATCTGTTCTGCAAAACAATGTGAGGGCTGAGCAGGTGAGAGCAGCCCTCAGGATGCTGCAGGTGGGAATGTGGGGCCTGGGGAGTTGAGTTCACCTTCAGCTGGAAAGGCTTCCTTCTGTGTAACATGCTAGCCCAGCAATTAGGTTGGTGGTGAGTGTTCATCTGGACTGCTGCCCCTTCTTCCCTGGTAGGGACTGATCTCCATCTGATAACAACCTTCATCTCTGGAAACACCCCAGCCTATGCTTGTAAAACCTCCTTCAAGGGAGGCTGGTCTCTAGGCTGGTCCTCCAGCCTAGAGATACATTCCTTGGGGAGCAAGAGCCAGGGTCTTGACCTTCTGCTGCATCAGCTTGTGCAGCAGGGCCAGAAGGTTGAGAAGGCCCATGGCCACATGTGGTGGCTTTTATGGCTGGACTGTGTTGGTAATGGGAGGTTTGCATGACATGGTGGGGCTGCTGAGAGCAAGGAGATGGAAGCAACGTGCAAATGGGCTTGACCCTTTTAGGAACAAGGGGAGATGCTCTTGTGGGAATGGCTTTGTGCTTGCTGAGCTGGTGGTGTGTGCCTTCATGAAAGCCTCTGGTGCTCAGCAGCTGGTGACTTCTTCAGCTCCTGGCTCTGCAGGTGTGGCTTGATGTCAACATTTTGGAAAAGCTGTGGCCAGTGATCACTTTGGGACTTCAGTGCATTTATGGAGATGTCCATGGTGTCCTGAGGAGCTGTGCAGCAGGGTGATGGTGGCTGTTCTTGGGGTGTTAGCTGTGGGAAAAAGGAGTTAACTGGGAATGCCCCAGTAAAGTGGGAAGCTGATTGGAAATGAGGAGTCTGTGTGCAGGAGGATCAGGGCCAGAGGGAGAGATCTGGTGCTGCCCTGTCAGGACTGAAAAAGGCACCTGCCCAGCTGGGGCACCTGAAGTCTGGGTGAGGATGAATTGTCACCTTCTGGGTATGGGATGCTGTGTTTTTAGGAGAAAGCAGCTGGGTTAAGACCTGTAGGGTAAAGAAACAGAGAAGAAGTGAAGAAAAAATAGTGGAATGTGGAGGGAAGGAGATGCTGGATTTGAAGGAGAGCTGCCCAACTGGTCATTCCAGGCTGTGAGCAAGGGTGGTTTTGTGCTTCTGGAGCCTGAAGGAGCTTCATACATCTGGAGTGAGGTCTTCTCAGCGTTAGGTGCTTCATCATGCTACAAGTAGCCCTGAAGCCTTCAAAACCAGTTGGAAATAAGTGGGGTTTTTTTCCCCTTCCTGTGTATTGTTTCCCCCTTCCTGTGTTCAAGTATCAAGGCTGAACTTGTTTCAGAAGCACTCGGGTGCTTGAGGAGCCCCAGTTCTTTGCTGGGCTGTGTGGTCTGTGTTCCTTCCTTGCCCAGAGTGATGGATTTGGGAGGGCTGCTCCCACCACCTGCCTGCAGCTGGTGCCCCAGGGTGAGGAGGGAGAGGTGGC